TCTCTCTCTCTCCCCTTCTCTATATCTATCTATCTATCTATCTATCTATATTTCCCTCTTTCTTTCTCTCCCTCTTTTGGTCGATTTTAAGAATAGAATACAGCAATTTTGTGTGTCAATCGCTTTAATCGTTCTTTTCCTGAACTTCTCGTTTGTCTTGTCCCTGCCATCTGCAATAATTACCCGAGATGAAAATCTCGCTAAATCTGTTTCCAAACATCTAATTTATTTTTTTTTAAGCCTTGCCCACTGATGACGATGTCTTGATTTGATCCAGGGAAACCGAAGTCAGTTAATTAATACATACGTGAACGCATAGATTTACTATTTTTTTCTTTACTGTTATCACGAAATAGTTATAAAACAACCTGAGCGGCATCGACGACATACGATATCTCATACCTCTTCATCTAACATTCAAGGCGGTATGAAAGAAACTGCTCTACCTAATAAAACCAATAGGGATTCTGTGAAAACAAGAAAACAAAGGCCTAACACCCCAGCTCATGGTGTCCTAGGGTTTAGAGACATAATGATGGAGTGGTTGGAACAAGTGTATTTCTAGACAATATCAGTTTAAATAGATGAGCAAAGCTAATAAACCTAATCTACATCCAATACCGAAGTGTTAAGGCACCACATCTGAATTCTGCTTGAGTATTTTTCTTCTCTTAAGCTTTGAAAGTGAACCGCTATAAGATCGAGATTGCATGAAATTAATGGTTTCATATTTCTGTCCCTGTAAGCGAGTATTACTAACTGGGCTTTAAATGAAGCAGCATCATGTGTATAATACTTCCAGTGCTAGAGTTCTTGAGTTTGACGTCATTGAATATTTCCTTTAGAACAGCATTAACAAGAGTACTCGCACTCAGGCGCTGGATTTATCTTCTCTATTCTTGTCTTATTTCTTCAATATCATTTGGCACAAATGAGTATTATTCAGCATTAACACGATTTGCTTGAGATTGGACGGGTATTTCTATTCAGCCTTTGCCATGTTTGAAGTGATGAAGCTAAACCCGTCCAAAAAAGCACGTTACTATTTACGGTATATAATCCAAGATGAAAATTACGCTTAAAGATGTATGCGCTCATAGGCTAAGGCACATGTTTCAAATACCATTCTTGGTAGATAGATATCTATCTGTCTCTGTCTCTCTCTTTCTCTCTCTGTCTCTCTCTCTCTCTCTTTCTCTCTTTCTCTCCCTCTTCCTTTCTCTCTCTCTCATACACACACATACACACACATACACACATACAAACACATACACACACACGAGCATAGATAGATAGATACATACATACATACATACATACATACATACATACATACATACATACATACATGCATGCATGCATGCATGCATGCATGCAGGCATGCATGCATGCAGGCATGCATACATGCATGCATACATACATACATACATACATACATACA